ACAGAGAGAGGCAGAGACACAGGCAGAGGGAGAAGCAGGCCCCATGCAGGGAGCCTGACTTGGGACTCCATCCCGGGACCCCAGGATCACACCCCAGACCGAAGGCGGCGCTAAACCACTGGGCCACCAGGGCTGCCAGAGCCTCAGACTTTAATGCAAATTTTAAAAAGATTTATTTATTTATTTTTAAAGAGAGAGTGTGTGCACGAGCGGGAGGGAGGGCAGAGGGAGGGGGAGAGCGTCGCAAACAGACTCCCCACTGAGCACAGAGCCCAAAGTGGGGCTAGATCTCATGATCCTGGGATCATGACTTGAGCTGAAATCAAGTGTCAAATGCTTAACTGACTGAGCCACCCAAGTGTCCCAGACTATAGTGCAATTCTAAGAAAATCTCAGTCAGGCCAATGGAGAGCTCTACAGACTGCCCACTAGATGAGTCTCATTTTGGATAGAACTGGTCCAGCTCTAGTACCCCCACCATGTTCAGTCATCGGGAACAGTCCAGAGAGAGCACAGTTTCAGTGTGAACATTGTAGTCGATCTTGGAGGTGTGGCAGCTAGAGATTGTCAGCCAACTACACTTCTCAAAACAGGCTCTCTCCTGAAGGGGCATGTGAGCAGTGCTCCTCTGTAGCTGCCAGAAGTATGGTGTGAAGATTCAAGAACAGACTCATCTATGTATGTGAAACTCATTTATAATAAATTAGGCATTTTAAATCAGCGGGAAAAGATGGACTGTTCAAATAATTGACGTTGAAACAACTGGCTATCCTTTTGGAAAGAATTAATTTAGATCCCAATGTCATATCATCCTCAATATAAGTAAAATCTGGATGGAGAAAAAAATTATAAAACATTTGGAGAAAAAAATATCTTGAATGATCTTGGTGTGCAGAAGCCTCTTATGCAAAAGGCAACACCCAGAAGCCATAAAAGAAATGACTGAGAGAGATCTGATTAAATAAAAATTTAAAACTAACACGGAAAAAAGCATCATTAATAAAATTAAAAATCAGGTAATATATTTGGAGAAAATATTTGTACAATATGTAACAGGCAAAGGATTAAATGGTAAAATATATAAAGAGATCCTCCGCATTGATATGAAAAGATAATCCAACAATAACAAAAAAAGTCGAGAAGGATATTGACAGGAAATCTACAGAATAAAGATGAGTGGCTAACTTACATAGGAAAAAATACTTCCACTAACTGATTATCAGGAAGTGGAAATTATTGAGCAAACCAGATGGGCAAAAATTAAAAATAATGCTAGTATATTTTTATCCTAGTATATAAACTATTGCAGGGTAGCTGGGAAAGTGACTATTTGGCTTTTTAGCCTCTAGGGGAAGTGGGCAAGAAAGAAATGGCTTTAGAAATAGGTTTTAATGTAGTGGACCTTCAATATTTGCCATTTCACCAGTTAAGAGAATGGGAATGGTTGTACCAACTGTAGTATATTCTTGCTAAGAAAAACTTTATGTAGCAAATGAGTCAAAACTGATGTGGAAAGATTTCTCAAGATGAAAAACAATACACATAACCTGATTTCCTGTATATTAAAAAGAAAATGTAGCAGTTATCTCTGAGATTGGAGGAGGAATTGAAGTAGAGGAGGACCTTCAAGATGTACTCCATGTTTTGGGGGGACCTCACTGGCTCAGTTGGCAGAGCATGTGACTCTTGATTCGGGGGTTGTAAGTTTGAGCCCCACATTGGGTGTGGAGATTACTTAAAAATAGAATCCTTAAACAAGGATTTACTCTATTTCTGTATTATTTAAGTCATTTACATTAAACTCCTTTATTTCTTGAGAGATTATAAAAGACCTATTAAGCAATTACTGCCCCTCCTCCAAAAAAAAAAAAAAAACAAGAAAACCCTTACTCTCTTCTTTGTCCATGGAATCCATTTACCATTTTTTTTTACATAATAGCCTTTCATTTTTCTTTCTCCTCTATGCCCCTCGCTGTCTTCCATTTCTATTACTTTGTACCTAGTTCATTGCAATGGCCTTCTAACTGATACACCTCCAGTTTTTCTTTACCCCATTCCTGCAGTCCACAGCCAACTTACTTTTCCTAAGACCAGCTTGACCTCAGTCATCCCTCTGCCCAAAAATCCTTTATGGGTCCCCCAAAGAGTTCAGAGGAATGCTATCAAGTGTTCCATGGGAAAAGAGTTCTGTGGTCTGGTGAATCTGGGAAATGCTGTGATTAACACAGGTAAAGAAAGATTTCTTAAGAGTGAAATATCTAGACTTTAAAATGCCAGTGTGCTAAGGGAACTTCTAAGGCGGAGAGAACTGTGTAATTCTTCTCAATTTATTCAGCCACCCAATTCTTCTTCTGAATAATACTATTGACCTTGAGGACATACCTTGAGAAAAAAAATGTCTTAAAAGGGGAAAAGTTTATAATTATTCTTCTGGCATTAATGGCCTTCTGAACATGTTTTTTATCATCTGGTATCTTCTACTGGTCAAAATGAATTTCCTTCCTTCTTCCTTCAGGGGTCAATGCTAGTTCCTCCTCCTCCAGGGAGTTCTTCTTAATTATCTCAGGCTCTCTGAACTGTGGCTCTTACCACCAGAACTCTGATTAATTACAACTTCAGAACTCTCTGGTTAATTAATCTCCTCCTTTTCTTGGGCCCATTTTATTTAACTCACCCGAGTAGAGCTAGGACTGTGTCTTATAATCTGCAGTACATATAACATTTAGCTGCTTGAGAATGCTGTGCATCTCCCCCAATGTGGGTAATACTTACCTTTGCACAAGGCAAGTATCTAGCTTTAGGTAAACCTATTACTTCTACCATCACAGAAAGCGATGAAAACAGCACTGTATTAGTTTCTTATTGGTGTTGTAACGTATTACCACAAACTTGGTGACTTTAAACAACACAAATTTATTAGTTTATAGTTCTCTAGGTCAGAATTCTGCATGGTGGTCTCATTGGGCTAAAATCAATATATTTTCTGCAGGGCTGTATTGCTTTTGGGGGCCATAGGGAAGAGTCCATTTCCTTGCTATTTCCGTGCCTTTTCTTGTCTTCTAGAAACCTCTGCATTCCTAGGCTCTTGGCCGCCTTCTTCCATCTTCAAAGCCACAAGGGCTAGTTGAGCTCTTCTCACACCACATCACTGCCTCCTGTTTGGACATTTAAGGAGCCCTGTGACAAATTAGGCCCACCTGGAGAATCTAGGCTAGCTCCCTATTTTTTTTTATAAATTCATTTTTTATTGGTGTTCAATTTGCCAGCATATAGAATAACACCCAGTGCTCATCCGTCAAGTGCCCCCCTCAGTGCCTGTCACCCAGTCACCCCCAACCCCTGCCCACCTCCCCTTCCACCACCCCTAGTTCGTTTCCCAGAGTTAGGAGTCTTTCATGTTCTGTCTCCCTTTCTGATATTTCCCACTCATTTTTTCTCCTTTCCCCTTTATTCCCTTTCACTATTTTTTATATTCCCCGAATGAATGAGACCATATAATGTTTGTCCTTCTCCGATTGACTTATTTCACTCAGCTAAATACCCTCCAGGTCCATCCACCTCGAAGCAAATGGTGGGTCTTTGTCGTTTCTAATCGCTGAGTAATATTCCACTGTGTACATAGACCACATATTCTTTCAGTTGATTTGCAACTCTAATTCCACTACGTAACCCTAATTCCCCTTGGCCACATAATTTAACATATTCACAGTTACCAGGGATTGGGAAGTGGACAACTTCAGGAAACCATTATCCTGCTCAGCACAGGCACTCTTGCCCAAAGATCTAAATTGAAGGTTTGCATATAGGTGGTAGGGGATATGGCAGCAAGTGGGAAAAACATTTTGTGATAATACACAACTCCTTTCTTTCTTTCTTTCTTTCTTTCTTTCTTTCTTTCTTTCTTTCTTTCTTTCTTTCTTTTTCTTTCTTTTCTTTCTTTCTTCTTTTTTTTTCCCACTCTTTTCAAATACAGGGAGGCTCTGCTGTGAGATCTTTGGCAAGTCACTTGAGTCTTAAGACTCCACATTTTTCGCTAAAATGAAAATTGCCACTGTTTGCTGTTTGTTAAGTGAAATTATTATGGAGATGGGTTTAGCTTAGAGCATGACAAATTTGGGCAAAAAAGGGTTTAGCTTAAAGCATGACAAATAGGGCTCAAAAAGTTCTTGATGAATCTTGATGAGGAGGGTGGGCGAAGTTCTCTGAATGACATCTGGAGATAGTTTGAGAAATTTCCAGAGAAAAAGAGTGAAAAGCGCCTGCCCTTGAAAGAAGTTAGAGGTTGAAAATTGTAGCATAAAGGAATCAAGTTACATCGAAGCTGTTGAAGCTAGCTTCGACAAAGGCAAAGACCCAGATTAAAAAAAAAAAAAAAAAAAAAAAAAAGGCGAAGCGAAGAGGCTCCTTAGGAGACACCCAGGTGACAGTGGCTACAGATCCAAACGGCCCTCGTGGGCAGAGATTATCCTTTGAGAAATTCTGTCCCTGCTTCGTTCAAGGCCATACATATATATGTTGTATCACAATCGCTTAGCGAATAAATAAATGAATTAAAAATTATGTCAGGAAAGGAAAAGTAGACAGCCTCAGGTTCCACCGAGATTTGAACTCGGATCGCTGGATTCAGAGTCCAGAGTGCTAACCATTACACCATGGAACCGCCACAAGCGCACGGGCGCCTTCTGCTCCCTAATTCTTAGAGACCCCGCCCCCAACCACAGCCTTCCAACGCGCAGGCGCGGCTGACGCGCTTCCCAGCACCCCGCTTCCCCGCACGTCGGCGCGAGGATTGAGAGGGTGGCAAGCGGCGGCTCAGAGCTGGGAATCCAGAGCTGCATTCCCCATCTAAGCTTCTTGGAGCGGGGAGGAGAACTGGGGGGGGGTGGTGCAGAATTTGAAGACCGACACGACTCGGCCTCGCACCGCCCCTCCCGGGCTCGGGGGCGGAGCGTCGCCTCCCGGAAGTGCTTCCCCCGAGGGGCTGGGGCCTGCCGGAAGTGACGTAGCGGCAGGGAGGGGTTCTTTCCCCGGTCCGGCAGCTGAGGCTCGGCGCTCGGGTTACCCCTGCAGCGACGCCCCCTGGTCCCACCGGTACCGCTGCTGCTCCCGCCCCTTCGCTCCCCGGCCGCGCAATGGGCACCCGCGACGACGAGTACGACTATCTCTTCAAAGGTGAGGCCGTGGGCTGCCCCACTTTCCTCAGCGGGTCGGGGTCCGGGGGCCCCGGGGCACTGCCTTGGGGACCCGCGCGGGCCGGCCGTGCACCGAAGCCGGCCTCCCTCCGCCCTTCCCGGCCGTGCGGTGCGCGCCGCGCTCTCCCCAGGTCGGGGCGCCCTCCGCGCACGCCGGGCTCGCAGCGACCCCCCTAGGCCCTCGCCTGCCTCCGCGCCCCCCACCCCGTGCCCTTCCACGGCGGGCCGCCGCCTCCAGCTCGCCAGCGCTTCCCGGGTCCGGTGGCCCCTGGCCAGGGGCGCCCCTCCCACCCTGTGTCTTTTCGGGTTGGCGCCCCTCCCCCTCAGCGCCCCTGCCTGAGCCCCTGTGACCGGCCCTGCCCTCGCTCACCTTCCCGTAGGCGCACACTCCCACCACAGGCCCCCCCACCTCTGCGCCCTGCTCCCCCCGGACCGGCGCCTCTCGGGCCCGTGCCAGGCCCCGGTCGGAATCCGAGCGGGCCGGGGGGTCCCCACCCCTCCCGCCCCCATAGCCCCCTGGGTCGGTTATAACCTCGCACCGCCCCCCCCGCCCCCCCCCCGGGGCTGCTCGCTCTCTCCCTCCCTTTCCTCCCCCAAATAATCGGGACCTCTCCCGCGTCCCCCGTGCGACCCCGGGGGCGGGGGGCAGGGCAGGAGGGATTGCCCGTCACCCACGCGCGCACTTGTCGCAGTGACCCGACACACTGTTGGGACTTCCCATCTGGGCTTTTTTTTTTTTTCCTTTTTTTTTTCCTTTTTCTTTTCCCTCCTCCTCTCCCTCCCCAGCGGCAGCCAGCCCGGGAGAACTCCAGACTGCGAGCGAGAAGGGGTTGCGGATGGGTGGTGGCTGTTATCCTTGCCAGACCTGAAGGCCCAGTTCCTGAGCAGGAAAGGTTGTGCGCTGCACAAATACTCGCCTGCTTTATCACTGTGGACGGGTTGCTTCCTGCTGCAGCGCCGGGAGGATCCCGATCTTTTGGTGTTACTAGAACAGGAAGGGAAAGAGTCCCACTTTTTAGCCACATACCTTTCCCCGAAAGGTGCGGGGGCTAGGGCTACAGTTGTGTGCTCTTTGGTGGGATTTAATATGTATGACGAGATCGGGAGACCTGTTAGTGCCCTTGGACAGAACATACTGGAGGGTGGGGAATGGATAGAAAGAATTGCCTATTGGTTCCTCAGGAAAGAATCCCGATAGTTGGTATCAACAAAAATAAAGGGTACAGTGTTTAACCAGAAAGAGTACGGTAAATGCTCTTTTTTGTTTTGTTTTGTTTGTTTTGTTCCGTGAATGCGCTCTCACTCAGATGCTCTTTCACTGCTTCTGAATTAGGGCAGCCATCAGTATAGTATGCTGAACAAAGATCATTACCAGAGAGGAAGAAGCCATTGCTATTAAGGCTTTACAGTGGAGGGTGGAGTTTTTTTTAAAAAGAGTGTTAAGCATGGTGATGGTTTCTGACCTTGCCATTGGGTGCTAAGAATGATTGACTGAAGGAAGCAGGAAACACTGCTTTACCAATACTTTGCAAATCTTAACCACCACCTAACTCCTCTGGGCTACAATATTCTGTAAATATAGGGTGAGTACAGGGTTCATCCTTGCTCCCCCATAGTGAGTGGAAAGTCATCTGCAGAGAAGAGCTTACTTAATGCATTTTATAAATACAAAAAGGAAGCATGGGTTCTTTAGCATACTCTTTGCTGAGGGCATCTGAGGTCATGTGAAATTACTTAGGTGAGGCCCTAGAGACTGGTGTTTAGTCCTTAAAAGATTTCTTAAAATAAGGTACAAGGCAGTAAGCAGCTAGCTATCTTTGAAGTGATTTAGAACAAGATGGACTAGCAACTCACAAGTCTTTCTCCTGTTTGATGTGGAGCTTGACTGTTGTTTATAAAAATCATTCCCCACCCCCCCCACACCCCCACTAAGAATATTAATTGTCCTAGATTGGTTTAAGGGATTTTAACTTAACTTTGAGATTAGACCATCCTAACAGTGATTGAGGGCAGGGTGCTTTGGAATCACGCAGGCTTGGATTCAGATTCTGACTCAGGTCTTAAACTTGCTTTGTGACCTTTGAGCCTCAGTTCCCTCATCTCTAAAAAGGAAATAATACCTATCTCTAGAATTAAATGAGACTGGTTTTGAGGATTCAGTAAGTGATAATAATGTGAAGAAAGTTCTGTGGTTCTTGTCAGCTTTTTGAACCTTAAATCTTCATAAGAGCATTCAAGTATTATGAAAGAAATTTAAAAGCAGGAACTTTTAAAGTATTTTATGTTTCCATTTTGTTGTACATTTTGCTTCTTAAGATTGGGTCTTAAAAAGATTTTGCTGAGAAGAATTTCCACTTTTTTAAAGCTCTTACAGGATATGAGTCACTTTTTTTTTTTTTTTACTTTAGTGCTGATTAGTTAGCCAATTTTTTATTTATAGAGTTATATCTTAAAGCAAAGCAACAATAATTCCATTTTAAACTAGTTTCATTCTTCAGAGGTTTAGTCACTGAGATGAGGTAGGCCCTTCTACTTGTAAGATTGCTTACCTATCACACCTTCACACTTTGAGGGAATTGGAAGTTAGTTTGTAACTCTAACCAGTTGAAGGACAATTATTCTGTGTTATGTATTTGTTCTTGAGCATTAATCTTTAGTTAAGCTCAACAAGGAGACTATTGGTGTGTGTATGGGTATTTTATTTTTTAAAACTTGACTTTTTATTTCAAAAGCTTTGATTCTGTAAGTATGTATATATAATGTGGTTATGGCCCTGTGGGACACATAAGCGAAGCAGGCATCAGTCATATTTCCTATTGGTGTTGTAGATGCCATTTCAGAGTCACATTTTTTGAAAATATCTAGATACATATTCAAGATATTTTCAATCTAGTTAAAGGTCAGTAGTAATTAACCATCAGCTGATTGTCAATGGAAAAGATCTTGGGAACTTTGCTGTCTTGTATCTTGGTAGTTTTTCTTTCACAACTTTCGGTTGAGTAACTCACATTCTGTTGAATCTGGAAAAACTTGTCTAGACTAAGGCTTTATTGGTGTACTAGAATACATTTTATTTTCAAGACTTGTGGTGAGGTAGGACTATGAATATAGCTGAAGGAGTAGAAAAATCTCCCCAGTTTATTTTTTATTTTTTAAAAGATTTTATTAATGTTTTTGAGAGAGAGTGCAAGCTAGCAAGCTTGAGGAGGGAGAGAGGGAGAAGCAGACTATCACTGAACAAGGAGCCTTACAATGGTCCCAGGACCCCAGGATCATTACCCAAGCCAAAGGCAAGATGCTCAAGTGACTGAGCTACCCAGATGCCCCCCAAGTTTTATAAAAATCAGTATGAAAATTAACCGTTTTCCTTTCAGATGTTAACATTTAGATCTGATATACTCTGATTTCTTGAATTAAATTTTGGTCCAGTACTTTAGCTTGCAAGAGAATATATAAAACTTAATGTGGTTGGAGAGGTGGAAGTTTTTATTAAATAAGGTATAATTTATATGTATATTCTGCTTTTATGGCAGATCTTTTATGAGCCAAATTTAATATTAGGTATTAGAATGGTATTTAAAATTTAGCAGGGAAGGTTTATTACCAAGTGGTAATAAACATCGTTAGGTTACTTTAGAAATGCTATAAGTGTTTAATACATAGATGCTGTTATTTATGTTTATATCATCATACATACTCCCCCCCCCCGCACGTGCTATATAGATGGATATAGCATAAAATGTTTAAAATGGGAAGTAAACTTTTAACCTAAGGTACTAGTTAAGGAAAACATTTGGAAAGTCACTGCACATTCCTTTCTTGAACCATAGGATGTGATCATGTAGTTTGTCACATTTTTAAAAAGCAATCGTACTTTGTTATCTTAATGAGAGAAACTATTTTGGTTAGAAATTGAGTCTCTGAACTTTTGTGTTTGGTTTTTCAGCTATAGCCAGTAAATTCTCTTACATTGCTTGAGTAGTCCATTCTGGTTTGCTTTTATTTTTTTGGTGACCTTAAATGTAACCCGTCTTGGTTTGGTTTCTCATTTGGTAACTGAATAGAACCAGCTTTCTTTACTGTGTTATTTCTTAGCATCTTCTTGGCAGCACTATTCTTAACCAGTATCTTCTGGTGTCTTTCAAGATATAATCCTTTAACAAGTTGTTAGTCTATTATTCTGGCAACCCTGTCCATGTCTAGTTGAGATAATTATTTTATACTGTATAAAGCATTCATGAGACTTGAATTATTTTCAGATAAAGGCGCTATTTTTTATAATGTTAAAATTATTATATTGAAGGAAAAAATGCCTTCACTATCTTTATGCTGAGTGGGGAGATAAAGAGCATAATCATTTGTTAACATGGAGGTCAGAAGGGAAGAAACCAGAACTTGAAAGTGCTAGAGTTTTTGTGGGAGGGAGGTGTTCTTTGGGTAAGTTATTTAATTTTCCAGAGACATTGTCATTTTAGGTGTCTTTTTGATTTTAAAGTGATTGGCTCCTGAATTATTGATATCTGAATGTCTATGAAGTAAACATATTTTAACTTTTTGATTTCTCCCTTTTTCCCTATTCCCACCTCAAATGAGACGTTTACACCTCAGTGCTAGTGTGGGTTTAGAAATGACTCTCAAAGGGTTTCCTCAGCAGAAAATTAGGCCTCTTGCACTAAGAGGCAACAGTGAGCGTATCCTAGCAAGAGGGTAGACTATTACACTGAAACTGGGATTCTCTTCTGGTACACCTGGGTGGCTCAGTGGTTGAGTGTCTGCCTTTGGTGCAGGTCATGATCCCGGAGTCCTGGGATCGAATCCCTCATCAGGCTCCTTGCAGGGAGACTGCTTCTCTCTTTACCTGTGTCTCTGCCTTGCTTTCTGTCTCTCTAATGAATAAATTTTAAGAATCTTAAAAGAAATAACTGCAGTTTGTGCTTCATGGACTTACTGCCACCTGGATGATTTCTTGCTGAATCAGCTAATAGAGGAAGTCAGAAAGATATGCATTTGATAATGTACTTCATCCAGGACTGTCCAGAGGCCAGCTTGTATCCGCTCTTGTGGCAAGGAAGGAACGCATAGTAGACTCTCTTTGCCCTCTGACCAGAGTGCGTTGAGCTCTTAAAGTTTTTACCTACCTCTCCCTCTAACCACCAAATCCCAGTCTCTTTAGTAAGGCATGGTCTTAGTCCTTGGTGTTACTCTCACATGTTTGATTTTCTAGTCTTGGTACCTGAATCAGCTAGTAGGAAGGACTAGTAGTCAACAGTAGAAATAAGTCTTATTTCCTGAAATGCTGATTGCATTTTTTTCTTTTGTAAATTTTTTTAGCTCATGTTCTATAAACCTGTGAATTCATTTTGTTCTTTAAATTCAGGTAGAAATGCTTTAGAACAAGTGAACTGCCTATTTCCCCATTGCTTATGAAATTCTTAAGTATAACATTGTCTTGGGTGAAAGAAAAATCCTCATGTATTTGGTTAATAAATAAACTGCCTCCATTAGTGATCATAGGAAATAAATTCATCTAAACCAAACTTGTTTTAAAAAATTAAGTCATAACAGAAAGTGTGTGCCCTCTGCTTTGGCTTTTACTCAGAGTAAGTCAAGGATTATTAGCTTCGTAGGGCTCCTGTTAAACTTAATTGGGGTATCCGTTTTTGTAGGGTCTCTAGCATCCTGCCTATCGGATGAATGTAGCTGTGAAAAGGTCCTTGTAGTTTTTGTGATCTGGGTGACAAAGTTTGTAAACCTGATGCCTCATATGGTAAATGTGTTTCATTTTGCCCAGGTGTGAGTCCTGAAGTTACACCCAGTCTTTGATTAAACTAAGTAGAACATTTTCATCCTTTCCATCCTTTCTACTCACTGATATCCTTTGTTACCTTCATGTATGATACACTTTAATATCACAAATTGTGTATTTGGTGTAGGATTTATCTTTCATGTTACTATCTTGTATGGTAATAAGGTTGGTATAGCATTTATGGTAATTAATCAGAGTCCAGTAGACCTGTAATTAAAATTGCATATGTAAGACAGGATACTGTATTTGTACTAAGCAGATGATGTGTGGAAGTTATTATGTGGGTAGAAACAATTTAAAAAGAATAAATTGGTTTTATTGATTGGTAACAGGTAAAGAACATGGGCTATTTGCCTTTCCTGCCCCCATCCCTTGTAAAAAAAAAAAATCAGATGTTCTGTCGTTTTTGCTTTGAAGCGTGGTAGTATTCTGAACGATGTCTGCCCCATTCATTGACATTAAATTCTTTGTCTTTTTTTCAGTTGTCCTTATTGGAGATTCTGGTGTTGGAAAGAGTAATCTCTTGTCTCGATTTACTCGAAATGAGTTTAATCTCGAAAGTAAGAGCACCATTGGAGTAGAGTTTGCAACAAGAAGCATCCAGGTTGATGGGAAAACAATAAAGGCACAGATATGGGACACGGCAGGGCAGGAGCGATACCGAGCTATAACATCAGCGTAAGTCTCATAGTTTTTAAATTCTGAGAAATAGACTGCCATCAACTGAATTAGCTAACTTTTGGTATTGGAAAAGGAACTTTTTTTTCCTCTTAAGAATTCCAGTATTAGGATTTTGAAATGTATTTATAAATGTGTTTTTAAAAATATATAATCTATATATTTAGTTCTTCTCAGTATTCCCTTCCATCTTAGCATTGTTTTCTAACATTAAATACCTGTTTCTGTTTTCAGATATTATCGTGGAGCTGTAGGTGCCTTACTGGTGTATGACATTGCTAAGCATCTCACATATGAAAATGTAGAACGATGGCTGAAAGAACTGAGAGATCATGCTGATAGTAACATTGTTATCATGCTTGTGGGCAATAAAAGTGATTTGCGTCATCTCAGGGCAGTTCCTACAGATGAAGCAAGAGCTTTTGCAGGTTAGTGATATGAATTTCATGGTATTACAGTGATTCTGTATTTTTAACTCTTATTTCTTACAGTTTTGATACTTTTCCAATGACAGTAATCGCTTACAGTAGTTTCAAAAAGGTAAACGTGAATACTCAGCAAGGATTGTTCGGAAAGTTTGTGATGACTTTCTTCCTTAATTTTGAGTCATTAAAACACTAGTATTTTGAGTTTTTGCTGCCAAGAGTTGAATATAAATCTTACTTTCTTTCCCTGGAAAGGGTAGATGATATCTCTCAGTTTATTTTGTGCTTCCTGTCTCTTTCTCTGTTATGTCAGTATTTTACCAAGGCTGCTCTATGTGGGTCTGAAAGACAATGGCCCAGGGAATGTCAACAACCAACAGGGATGTGGCTGCTTAGGAGTTACAACTTTTTTGATTTAATGGAGGATCTGCCTATAACTCCTGTTTGGAATAGCCTACTAGAAGGCAGCATTCTTGGCTAGTGAAAGTTTTGACTGTCTACTAGTGATTATGCTGTGAATAAAGGTTTTTACAATAGTTTTTTAGTTTTCCAGGCAAGAAGCTTTATTTCAAATAATATAGTTAAAGAATTCTAAGTGAATAGCACCTACTCATCCATGTTCATATCATAATTCTGTGGTTGATGGAGAAGGACAGTAATGGATGGAAATAACTGAGTATTTGATAAGTTTACTACATTTTGAATAACGTCATTCATTGGTAGTGTATAGATGTAACAAGTATTTTTTAATTAAGGAGGCAATGAAAATTTTTCACTGTTCTTTTTAATATGCTGAAGTGTAAATAGAATGATGCCCTTATTGCTCAAGAAATTGGGGAGGACTTAGGTTATTTTCCTTTTGAAGGCTAGAATGTATTACATCTCTTTCATAAAATTTGACAAGACTGAAGTTTTTATCTCCCCCCCTCCCCCCAGAAAAGAATGGTTTGTCATTCATTGAGACTTCCGCTCTAGACTCTACAAATGTAGAAGCTGCTTTTCAGACAATTCTGACAGGTAAGACTTGAATTTTTAGATTATGCTAGTGGGAATTGGAAGTTTGAAGAATGTAATTTAAACAAATTAGGAAACCTATATATCACACTGAGAATAACTATCATTTGAGACAAGAGCTATTTAAAGTACAAAATTAGTTAACAGGGGATCCCTGGGTGGCGCAGCGGTTTGGCGCCTGCCTTTGGCCCAGGGCGCGATCCTGGAGACGTGGGATTGAATCCCATATCGGGCTCCCGGTGCATGGAGCCTGCTTCTCCCTCTGCGCCTCTCTCTCTCTCTCTCTCTCTCTCTCTCTCTCTCTCTCTCTCTCATAAATAAATAAATAAAAATTTAAAAAAAAAAACAAAATTAGTTAACAATTCTTCCTTGCTGAGCTTTAATCATCCTAGTTTATCTGGTTTGTAATTAGGAAAAGTACTTTGAAAATAATTTGTTTACTTATATTATTGCGTCAGTCCAGTTATTCCATACTTTATGGTCACAAGTACAAAGTAATGGTTAAAGGCATTTTCATAAGATACGGAAATCCTGACTATGGGAAGATAGAAATGTCCTTTGAAATTTAGCAAAGAAAAGGCTTGCTTTGTTCTGATACATTATAGAAGCAGCTAGGGGAAAACATATTTTTAAGAATTTAAATGAAAAAACAAAAAGTAAAACTCTCTTGTGATGTAAAAGAAGCAAGGTGTCCTCTCTGGAGAACAGTGAGTAATTGCATATGGAAAAGTTTAAATAGGGGATGCCTGGGTGGCTTAGTGGTTGAGGCCCAGTCCCTCATCGGGCTCCCTGCCTGCTTCTCCCTCTGCCTCTCTCTTTGTGTTTCTCATGAATAAATAAATAAAATCTTAAAAAAAAAAAAAAAAAGTTTAAGTAGTGGAAAAAGAACAAAGTTCATGCTGTTTTAAAATTAGATGTGCAGATCAGGTCAATCTTGGATTTCAAGGCTGTATTCGTGTTGACTCATATTTACTCTGACTTTATTTGAATGACCAACTTGTCAGCAAGTTTAATCTTAATTCTCTAGTAAGTAGTTTGATGGGTTGTATTAAAGTAGTTTAAAATTATATTATTTTTAAGAACTCGTGTTGTAAAGTGTAGGCTTACTATATACCGTAGTCTGATATGACTTTCGAACAGGTCTGTATGGAAAAATGGTTAATAAGTTTCCAATTTTATTTGTTTATTTATTTAAAAGATTTTATTTATTTATTCATGAGAGAGGCAGACACATAGGCAGAACAAGAAGCAGGCCCCTTGGGGAGAGCCCGATATGGGACTCAATCTTGGGACTCCAGGATCACACCCTGAGCCCAAGGCCGATGCTCAACCACTGAGCTACCCAAGTGTCCTGTTTCCAATTTTAATATAACAAAATTTTAATGTATTCTTTGTATGTAGTACTTGCATTAGAGGTGAACAGATTTTAACTTTTATTTTTATTTAAAAATTTTTTAAAATTTATTTATTTTTGTAGAGAGAGCAAGTACAAAGTAAGGAGGGCAGAGGGAGAAGGAGAGAATCTTAAGCAGTCTCCCAAGGAGTCAGATATTTAACCAGCTGAGCACAAAGGTGCCCTGATTTTTTTATTTTTAATTTTCCCAAGTTTTTATTAAATTCCAGTTAACATACAATGTAATAGTAGTTTCAGGTGTAGAATTTAGTGATCTACAAATTTTAACTTTTAAATATCATATTTCAGACTTGAAATATGTAGAGAATAAAGCCTAGAATTTAAGAGCATGGTCTTAGAACCCTGATTTGTGTTTTAGTCCTGGCTCCTTCAGTTACCATTGGCTCTGTAATCTTAAGCAAATTACCTAACTTTTCTAGGTCTTAAATTCTTTATCTGTAAAATTTAAATATGTTAAATTAAAATCAACATTAAATTAAAAATAAATAGTTTTGTGTTTTTTTAAGAGGGCTTATATTTATAAATACCTTGTGGTATGATTTGACTTACCTGTTATGTTGTGACTTAAAGGTTTTTATCTCTGTAACTCACAGAAAAGAGTTGCCTGTTAATGTGAGACATCTACTCTAGACTCCAAAAATGAATTCATGAGTTCATACATGTGAAAAATACTTAACTTATACCTAGTACAGAGTGGACATTTGATGAACTAGTAGCTAAATAGCAGTTAAAGCATGAAAAAAAATAAAAATAGTGATGATTCACATACAGTAGGTATAATAAACAATAGTTGATTAGAATTATTTTCTGTTAGGAGAAAAATAGTAACTATAATAGAACTGGTGCTGAGGTTGGATTAAATAGTCTCTTGGAACACAGTAGCTTTCCCTTAGAATCTTCTGTTCAAATAAAAAATCTTCTGTTTCATTAGACTATTGCAAGCAAGATTTGATTAATTATTGCAGTGTATTTGCAAATCCTACTTCTTTTCTTTACAACCACTTGTGCAGATTCTATTAAGTCAATTATGTAGAGTACTAAATTTAGACCTAGGAGTTGTAGGTTTTTACTTTTTAGCATTTTGTTCCCACTCCCTGTGTAACTAGTCACTGAACTTCCTGTGTCCTCAGAGTTGCACTGTTTTAAATAATAAGTGAGTTAAGTCATCTTGAGGGTCTGTGAGTCTCAAGGCCTCCGAAAACCTCGTTTGAAAAAATTTTTTAGTGCTTGTTGAGATATTTTTTTATAGTCCCATCAGATCTCCTGTGCATTCTAGATTCTAGCCCTTTCTGATCTCAGTTTCTAGACTATTCTGATATTAAGTGAAGATGAGACCATCTGCAGTTAACTATTGTGTGTATCATTTTGTAACATTGAACTTAATTAACTCAAACATGAGCTAACTAATCAATAAGTATGATATATACTTCAAATTGAATTGTTTTGTCTTTTTTTTTTTAAGATTATTTATTTATTCATGAGAGACACAGAGAGAGGCAGGAGCCTAATGTGGGGCTTGATCCCGGATCCCAGGATCATGCCCTGAGCCAAAGGCAGATGCTCAACCGCTGAACCATCCAGGCGTCCCAGAACTGTTTTGTCCTTAAAGATGAAGAACATTTGGCCATTTTTCTTAAAATTCATTCTAGATTTAACATATGCTACTACTGCTTAATGTTGCTTAAAAGCAAATAAGACTTCAGCTTCACTTACTACCATTTTTCCTCTCTATATTCACTATTTTCTCAGCTTCCTTGGAGCATAAATCTCAGTGTTGATCTGTGGGATCAGAGATCACTGCATGTGGAGCAGACATCTCTGTTGTTTTGCATGTGCTAGGATGTTTGTTTTAAACTTCTCTTTATATACCAGTAGGAGTATTAATACTTAGAAAAAACAGGAAGGAATGAGGTGCCTTGGTGGTACAGTTGGTTGAGTGTCTGACCCTTGGTTTCTGGTTGGGTTGTGATCTTGAGGTGGTAGGGTTTAGCTCCAAGTTAGGTTCTGTTCAGCACAGAATCTGCTTGGATTTCTCTCCCCCTCTACCTCACCCCTACTAAAATAAATCTTAAAAAAAAAAAAAGAAAGAAGGAAAGAAAGAAAAGAAAAGAAAAGAAAAAAGAAATGGGAGGACAAAAAAACCCAGTAAAGATAACAGTAATCTCATTAAGTTTAATTCTACCTTGAATGTTAACAGCATTAAGGGAGCATTTACATGGTGTTTTGATGTTGCTGGAAGAAAAAATCGTTTTTTCATTTTCAAGTTGGAAAATTATGTTAGAATATTTATCTGTTTTATTACTCCAAAGTTCACTGTGTTGCTTGTTTAGAATAGACTCCTGGCATTTTTGGCATCCATGAATTTGACAGTAACTCCATGACAATTTTGCTGGTGATGATTTTTAGAGATAGTTGGCTAGTACTTGAGTGAACCTACTAGATTGCTCAGCCTCTGCATTGCTGTGCAGTTCTGTTTTTTTTTTTTTTTATCGTCGAGTTCATTAAGGGATGTTTTTAATCCATACTTTCCATACTCTTATTTTTTCTTTTAAGTTTGAAATTTGACAGTTTCAGACTTTAAGTTGTGAGGTGCCTGGGTGGTACAGTCAGGCGTCAGACTCTTGTTTTCAGCTCACTTCATGATCTCAGGGTTACGGGATTGAGCATCAGGGCTACATGCCGAGCGTCAAATCTGCTTGAGATTCTCTCTCCCTCTGCCCTTCCCCCACCAACACACATTCTTTCTCTAAGATGAATAAATAAATCTTTAAAAGAAGAAAAGTTGCAATAATAGTGCAAAGAAATTATAAATACCCTCACCATATTCCCCAAATGTTGGTATTTTACTGTATCTGCTTTATTCTTTTTTCTTCCTCTTGCTATATACTAATTTTTTTCTTGCACCATTTCATACTAGCAGACTTGTTGCCTCTTGCACCTAAGTACTTTTCAGTGCATATTTCTTAAAAACAAGGATGTTCTCTTTAATAACTGTAGTGCAGTTGCCAAAAATCAGAGTTAGATAGTAATCCATATCAATGTTTAGCTACAGACCTTGTGCAGATTCTGCCATTTGTTCAAATTATGTCCTTATTAGCAAAAGAAATTGAGAGATCACATCACAAATTGCATTCAGCTTTCCTACCTCTTTCATCTCCTCTAATCTGAACAGATCCTTAATCCTTTGTTTATTGATATATTTTGTTTGAAGGGTACAGGTCATTTATTTTGTAGTGTCCCTCAATTTGCGTTTGTCTCATGATCCCTCATAATTAAATTCAGATTATGCAGTTTCAGCAAAAATACCACAAAAGCGATCTCAGTGTATCCTATCAGGAGGTTGTGATATTAGTTTGTTGTATTCATTACTGGTGATGTTAAATCTGATCACTTGGTTAAAGTGGTAACTGCAAGGTTTCTCCATTTAATTAATAAGCCCAAGTCATTAGTTATTGAAGACTGAACTCTTAATTTTATGGCTAAAGTAGTGAGAATCATTTAACAAGGGTTTTTTTTTTCTTTTAATGTAAGCTCTACTCTTAGCATGGAGCTCAATGTGCGGCTTGAATGTAAATCAGGACCTGCACTGAAATCAAGAGTCAGTTAACTAAACTGAGCCACCCAGACACCCTGAGGTGTATTATTTTTGTTCTTGGCATGTGACAATTTTTCAAATACATGCCAGTATATAAAATCAGAGCATTTTTTTGATGTTCAAGAAACTTAATGGTGAGCAGAGTGTTTGTAGAAGACCTAAGCAATTTTGACTTAAGCTGTAGTGGAATACTCAGCTTTTGTTATTTTTACAATTTTTGGAGAGCGCAAAGATTTTTAGCTCTTTTTGTTCCCTAGTTTAGAACAATTGCATTTAACTTCCTTAGAGTGTACTTTGCAAATTGCTTCATACTTTATTAGAGTATGAAGAGAGTATGAATAGAGAGATAGGCATGTGTCTTTTTAATTTAACTTTGCTAGGTTGTATTTAAAACTCTCTATTAATATTTTAACTTTCTATTTAGATCTGTAAGAGATTGTGTCTAACATAGGAACAGCACAGCAGAATTCCTTTTCTTTTTAACCTTGCCTAGCCTTTGGACATCTGGAAGAGGAACTGTACAGGAATTAGTGTATCACATACATCTGGTTCTAAAGGAGAACATGCCCTTGAAAGAGGAAAATATTTGCATCTGGTTTACCACGTTACTTACTAGTCCTGTTTCCTTTCCCTCCTTAAATAACCTCTAATCAGATAGCACCTAGTGGGTACCTGCTTCCTATTTTCTTATCAAAGTATTTAAGTGACACACCCAGCCACAGGAGATGTTAAATAAATTACTTGAGTAGTTTCTTAGTGCCCATTCTACTTGAAAGAAAATTTTCTTTTTCTTTCTTGATCAGCACTTTTCCTATTTTCTTTACTGCTTTGGCATTTTCATTAGTGGACATCTGTTCGGTGACTGGAACAAATGTAGCAGTAATCCATTTCCACGGAACTGTGTAGTACTTGCATACCAGTTATACAATACTGCTCAAATTTCTTGCTTTGTAATGAGATCTCTTTAATATTTAACTTTCTGTTCTTTGAGAACTCTTTCTTTTCCACTCTTCAAGTATTTGCTTTTCATATAAGAGTCTGCAAAATATTTTTTGTTTTGGCTCCTCTAAATCTCCAAAACAACTTGTAAAGAAGTTAAATTTTGTAGAGGGTCACATTTAATCATGTGCACTTAAAAGAAGAGCCATCCAGTTTGGGATTAGGGAGAAAACATTAAAGAATGACTAGTCAAGTTTTACATTAAGTCAATAATTGTCTTTATTTCTTAGTCACTAGCCTGATTGAATGAGTGTCTTTCCCTCTACCCTTGACACACTCCAGTTCGATCTCTGCAATGAAAAGAATCTAAATGAAGAATACATAGCCTTTTTTTTTTTAATTTAGTCAGTAGGCTTTCTTAATTTTCTCTTCTTCAGCTTTTGAGAAGTACTATCAACCTTCTCAGACCCAAATTTTAGCCGACCTCCTCCCCCCCCAAAAAAAGTAAGGAAAGGTACGTTATATCTGTCAGTGTTTTTGCTAGTTTATACATTCAGTTGACTATAGCTTGCTCTTGTTCAACTTAAGAGAAATTAGTTCTTAATTTGGAGAAAATAAATTCATTTAACACATTTCTTTTTCTCTATCTTTTGGTAATGGAAAGTGTCTAACATACCAAAAGTAGGACAGTATCCTCAACTCCCATGTAGCCACCAACAACCATCAGTTCATGACCAGTGTTTGTTCCACCTCTTCCCTCCCTTATTTTTTGAAACAAATCCCTGATATTACATCATTTCAGTTGTAAACATTTCATGATGTAGATCTAAAAGATTGGGGCGTAAACCCAAAGCAACAAAACCACTAAAAAATTGGCAGCAATTTCTTATTATCATCTATTATCTAAACAATATTAAAAGTTCTTGTCTCAAATTTTTTTTTTTTTTTTTACAGTTCAAATTAGAATCCAATCCAAATGATGTTACTACATTACAGTTGGTTGACATGTTCTTGGAGCATTTTGAAAATAGACTTCTACTTTCCCTTTTTTACCCTATAAACAATTTTTTTAATTCCAAGTATTATAGGAATAATACCTTATACCCTTCCTTTAGGATCATCACTTTACTATATTTGACTTATTTACATGTGTGTATATACTTTTTTCCCTCTTTACTCAGTCTTTGGAAAATAAATTGTAGACATTCTCGCACTTCACAAGTAAATACTGAAGCATTTTATCTCCTAAGTACAAGGCATTATGAGTAATCACAATACCATATCATATTTAAGAAATTTATGTTTATGTGGTATTAGCTAATGTACAGTTCATATTCTTATTTCTCCAAGTGTACTAATAATTCTTTTATAGATTTGGTTTTTACATTTTAAATGTCAATTTGGCCAAAGGTCACACATTGATGGAATTGTTTCATATCTGAGGTATTATCAAATAGAGTAGCTACTGGGTACAGGTTGTTATTGAGAGCTTGAAATAGGGCTAGTGGATTGAGGAATTGGATTTTAAATTTAATTTAAATATGTACTATATTGGACACTATAGATGTAGAACATTTATCCTCATCTTTTATTTATTTATTTTTTTAAAGATTTTATTTATTCATGAGAGACACAGAGAGAGGCAGAGACATAGGCAGAGAGAGAAGCAGGCTCCATGCAGGAGCCCGATGTGGGGCTTGACCCTGGGACTCCAGGACCACGCCCTGGGCCGAAGCAGGCACTAAACCGCTGAGCCATCCCGGGATCCCCTATCCTCATCTTTTAAATGCATTTTTATAACAATAAATGTTTTGAAGACTCTTGGCCAGTATTTTTGGAAAGTCCCTCCATCTGAATTTATCTAAATGTTTTCTTAGGATAAATTCATTTTAAGCATTTTTTGGCAGGAATACATAGGTATCCTTTGTAGGAACACATTGTGTCTTTCATAGTACATCATAATAGGCACATCATGTCAATTTATCCCATTTTTAGAATTCCCTTACCTTTGAGGATTTTTTGTTTTGTTTTGAGGGAGAACTGGGAGAGTAAAGATAAATAAGATACATTCTCTGTAAGGAATTCATAATCTGTCAGAGGGAAATACTTTTAGGCAGTGAAATAGAAGACCAAATAAAATGGGTTAAATAGGGATGCCTGGGTGGTTCAGTGGTTGAGCCTTTGGCTTAGGACAGGACAAGTCCCACATTGGGCTCCCCTTGAGGAGCCTGCTTCTCCCTCTATGTCTTTTGCTTCTCTCTCTGTGTCTCTCATAAATAAATAAAATATTTTAAAAAGGAAAAAAATAAAAAGTTAAATAAAGATGCTGGGTGTAGAGGAATTTAAGAACACTTATTGGACCAACTAGTTACGTACCAAACCCCTACTATATGCCATGTGCTGGAGGTACAGAACTGAATAAGGTAGATAGAGTTCTTGTCTTTACAGAGTTTAGTGTTCAGTGGAAGAAGTAGACACGGTTTTTATGTTTGTATAGTTAGTTTTGATAAGTATCATAAAATCTTAAGTACTCTGTTAAAAAGTATTTAATTACAATTTAACTTAGGTCAGGAGGCATTGATAGGCATAATCTTTCCCTCCCTTTCTAAGAGTCCTTTGGGATTTTGGCATGTTTATGAAGTTCTGCACTTCCTTACACAGCCAGGAAAAATATTAATGTATCTCAGTGCAGATTTATCTTTATTTTTCTGTGGCGTACTGTATCAGTGTATTTACAGGATTTTTGATAAGGGTAGACTGAAAATATTCTCATGGTTTAATTTTTGTTTTTTTTTTTCATGGTTTAATTTAGATCTAATCCCATAAACTATGTAATCTCTTTAAACCAAGATTTATTTGACTGGTGAACCCTTTCCTCTGAAAAGGAAAATCTTTTTTTGTCTTTTCCGCCCTTACTCTAATCGGTGGTTATTTGAAAATAAAACTTTAAATTTATGCTTTCTTTGTTCAAATTTATTTGCAGTCTTTTTCTGCAAATCTGTTTTCTACTTCTGTGTACTTTTATATTAACTATTAATGAGTTTATTCACAGTGAGTATTGCTGTTGTTTTGTTTTTTTCCAGAGATATACCGCATTGTTTCCCAGAAGCAAATGTCAGACAGACGTGAAAATGACATGTCTCCAAGCAACAATGTGGTTCCTATTCATGTTCCACCAACCACTGAAAACAAGCCAAAGGTGCAGTGCTGTCAGAACATATAAGGCATTTCTCTTCTCCCCTAGAAGGCTGTGTATAGTCCATTTCCCAGGTCTGAGATTTAAATATATTTGTAATTCTTGTGGTCACTTTGTGTTTTATTACTTCCTCATACTTATGAATTTTCCCATGTCTTAAGTCTTTTGATTTTAGCTTTATAAAATCATCCACTTGTCCCGAATGACTGCAGCTTTTTTTCATGCTATGGCTTCACTAGCCTTAGTTTAATAAACTGAATGTTTGGATTCCTCAGTTATTGTTTACTTTTCATCAAGGAAGCCTGTCACTGTAGGACACATTTAGAACTTGATCACTTGAAGCTCAGACCTATTGGTCTTGATCAAATCAAACTAAGAAGACTTTAGAAGAAATAAGCTACCATTTTGCCACAGAGCAGCTTATAAGGAGCAGCTTATATCATACACTCTTCTCTCAATGCAGTGTATATTTCCACAAATCTAAGAATTGCCCTATACACATAGCAGGATTTTGAGAGCTTGAAAATTTTCCATTATTCTGGAAATCAATTTCTAAAATGCCTTAATAGGGTTAAGTAGTCTAGTAAATTTTGTTTTTTAATTTTTGTAAGCATCAAAGTGATTAGAGAGGGGGACAGTTTTTTCTGGACGAGGATTATGTTAATAAACAAAAGCTTGTTATATGGTTTCAGTAGCAGTGTGGTTATGGAGCCATATTTAAACCAGGCTGCCTGGCAGGCTGGGAACTCGAGAGACTAGTGGAATTCCATCTGCGATGCCTCTGTTGCACATGATTAGGCAGCCCAAATCCTTGAACTCTAATTTCCCAGCAGTAGATTATGTGGCATTTTATTGCTCAGGCAAGAACTGGTTTAATGCTGTTAGTATCAAATTGTGAAGTGTTAATTTTGTCCTAAAACCTTCCAGTAAATGAAATGCAACCAAGTTTTATCACCATCTCTATCAGCAGGCATGGATAATTATTTTAACAATGCTGATTTTTGAGTTTTGCAACATATTGTGGAATATAGTCCAGTTGAATATCTGGTTTCAGTATGTCTAAAGAATTTAGTGAGAGGTTAATTTCTGCTCAAGTTGTACCACTTAAAGGCATGTATTCTTTTAGTACGTAGTACCTTGAGTTTAAATAGAATGCATTTAGGCATTATTCAAAGCTGAACTACTTTATCCCCCCACTACATTATTGAAATCAGTGGAGCAACTAGTTTCCCATTTTAAATGTGCACACTAATACTGAGTTTTACTTTCTTGTGGATAATATTAAGCACTTAACTCTGCAGTGTTCTGAAAGTTGTGTCGATTGAATTGATACTATTCAGGATGGTGGAATATCCCCCAAGTATAAAAATGTATGTGTGTGGGCTTGCATAGATTACTATGTTTCATAGTTAATCTGTCTTTTGCAGTGCTCATGACGTGTGGGGCACACGGAAGGCATTGCTGTGGTCATTCTTTTTGGTTTTCTTCTGTAGCCATTTATTATTTAGAGTATTGGTTGGTTATGAAGATAATATTATCTATTTGTAAATCGCTACTTTGTATTTTATGCATGCTCTGTAACTTGATTTATTTTTATTTTTATTTTATTTTTTAGTTATTGATTTGGAATATATTCACATTCTAATAAACAGTTATAGGGGGACTATTCTTTATGTTGTCAGATTACATTTTTCTTTTGATGCTTTGGATATAGCCATGGAATATTTGATTCTGATCAGCAAGAGCATAGGTCCTTGCATTACAGAGTAAACATTGAATTGGAGGCATCATTGTGTAAATTCAGCTTTGATTTTAGACATAAGGTTCAATTATGCTTTTCTTAGAAAACATATCACCAAAAACATTAAGGAAGTAATCTTTGTACTTTCCTATATTACATTGTCCCCAGACCCAGGAAGAGGCATTTACTCAAAATTGGTAGTAAATCTTTGACAAAATTATTTAAGAGAAAGAAACTCTAGGTAGTGAATTGAAAATGAATAACTTTGAATTTTTATCAAGTATAGACTTAATGTTGCTGTGGGCATGGTTGGATCTTAGGAGAATTCTAAGAACCCTTTAAGTAGTAGTAGAAAATGTCTTTGATTGCTTAACAGTGTCTTTATTCTGAGTAGTATCTCAGGAGACAAATTGTCTCCAGTAAGAAACATTAAGTTTTAAAATATTATGACAGTTTAGGGCTCAAGGCAGTTTAGAAGTGTTTTGCTGCTTGACTCTGCTTTTCAGTTATTTTAACTTTGAATTGTTTTTTAACCTATTCTGAAAAGCCAGTTAGCCATCTCGACTTGATTTAAACTTGTATGTCATTGGTCTCAAGTGCTTTTTATGATTTTTCTTTAATAGTAATTATAACTCTGTAGGGGTAAATTATCTTTAGCCATTGCATTATTGTATGCTAAATTCTAAGAAGGGGTGCTAGCTAGTGACTTACACCAGGGGTCTTTTTAAGTTCTGAAAGGTTCTGCAGAAAATCTAAACCTCTGAGTTTAGATTGCCCATCAGAACTAGTCCTTTTTATTACATCATTGGGAAAACGAACATCTTAATTTTGTCTTCAGTAATTTGTATTTACAAAATACTAATGCTCTCAGTGGTTTGAATGTTGTCATAACTTCTGTGTACCTTAAAGAGAAAAAATTGTTTAGACAGTTTTGGCCAATACCAGGAGCAGAATAATTCAAAGGTTGGGTTGTTTGATAATTAAGAACTTATTCCAGACTGTTAGGTTTCAATTTATGGAGTTTTGTTTTTGTTTTTTAAACATGGAAAGAAAATAGAACTTGGTTATTTGATGTCTTACAAACATACTAATAAGCCTGAAAAAAATTCAAAACAAAATATGAATTATGTATAAGTACTGTGCATGGCATGTATTTCCTGTGTGGGGGAAAAAAAAAACCAAGACCATGAAAGGACCTTCTTCTACTACATGCTTTAATGGGAAGAATAATAGGCTAGTGCTAAAAAGAGAAGGGCTGAGTTTTGTTATCTTGGTTGGGTTGGCACTGATACCAGGCCCTTTCTCGGATTTGACAGGTCACTTTTTCCATTCACCTAAAGGATATGCCAAATAAACTAAAGTTGTCATTCAAATGTTTTATTTATTTAAGGATTTTATTTATTTATTTGAGAAAGAGTGAGAGAGCACAAGCAGGGGGAGCTGCGGAGGGAGAGAGAGAAACAGGCTGCTCACTGAGGGAAGGAGCCTGACCTGGGGCTTGATCCCACCACCCTGGAATTGTGACCTGAGCTGAAGGCAGACGCTTAAGCAGCTGAGCTACCCAGGTATCCCAGTCATTCATTCAAATGTTTTAAAGAATGGTTGTATTTCCCTAAACTATAGGAGGCCAAGGGTAACAATAAAGTAATATAGAATGTCATTACAGCTTCTGTAAATGAGGTCATAGGCTAAGAAATTTTAATTGAAGTATCCTTTTCACTGAAAATTGGAGTATAGAGAAAGAATGTCTGAAGGGACATTGATACTAAGCATATATTAGAAATATGCTAAACTATTTGCTTTAAAGGCTGAAAGTGGCAAGTATTAATAGAGTAGTGGACTGGGTGACAAAGACTTGGATTCTAGTCACAGCTCTTTTAGTCATTTTACCCCTGAGCGCCCTCACCTTCTTCCAGTTAGTGAGGGGAATGGGTTAGATTATTTCTGGAGTTCATCCCAGCTCCAATTCAGTAATTCTATGAATGAACTCTTCAGGTACTAGAGCCAAATTATTACACATTTGAACTCAAGTTTAATAAATAAGTAAAAAATCACTTTGCAAAATGTTTTTGGTCTTATAATAACATGATTAAAATGTTATTATTTCCATGTTAACTCCATTCCATAACATGAAAGCTTTCAGAACATTTGCAAAATGACTGTCATTTTCAATAGTATGTATCAAAGTATCATATCCTAAGGGGGGAAGAGCACTTGAGGGGCTGATATGTCAACTGTAAATTGAGAACTGCTTGTTTTGGCTTTTACTGTTAAGATTCTGCTGGCTTTTAATATATACTTTTAAAATATATTCATGTCTGAGAGAGAAAACTTTTAAAAACATTTTGTGTTTAATTTTTTACTATTATCTCTTGTAGGAATCTGTAAGAAGGTAGAGTAATCCACAAAGCTAGCTGTCCAAGAGAACCAGTGATTAAATCCAAGTACATAGGTTTTTGTGGCAAAATACACATGATATAAACATTATTTTGCTGTTAGTTTAGTAGTCTAACCATCTGAATTCAATCATTCAGCATAGAATTGATAGGTCCCAGCACAGATGACCTATTTATTTGCTGTTATCTACTTTGTTACCAGTACTAGTGAAGGTAGTGAAAATTAGTAGTCAGTAGGATTCCTTTTCTGTGTTTGAGTCAGTGGAACTTAATTTGCCTCTTATCCCCATCACAATGAATAAGTATATTGCTTTTAGATTTATTTCCCTTCACAACTTCCAGTCTCAGCATACCATTGTCTCAAATCTCTCTAGGGAAGTGGTACAGATCCTTGTCTTGTCTTTGAGAAGTTGCTGACCACTGTACTAGCCTCTCTGCCAGAGCATTTCATTATATGGCCCTAAGTATATTATAGAAAGTCATGCCTGAAGTGGGACAGTCTGGAAGGCCCCAGGAAGCAACACTATTTCTGCAGGCTCTCTTTGATAAGCAGGATCTATTAGGACCATCAATTACTGGTTCTGGTTTACATTTAAGTGGATGCCTAAATAGCAGTATTTTCTAAGACCTCAAGTCCTTGTGCTTTTTCCTCTCCAAGGCTCTGGAGGGCCATGTACTGGGCTAGACAGTGACTTGGGAGGTAGAAGCTAAAATTGAGGGAATCTGACAATCTGTCACAATAGACTAGAGCTTCCACCTTTAATGGGTTTGGATTGGACTGCCACACTTTCTAGCTCTACAAGTCAGGGAAAAGAATCTACAATAGTATCCTGCTAATCACTAGGGCCCTGCATTTATCTCTGCCCTTTTGAAATTGCTAAGTAGTAAGATCCATAGCATGGGAATGTGTTTTAATCATATTTACATTCCTAACATCTATTCCCCCTACTATTCCACGTCAGAACAATAAAGAAAGAACATCCAGAAGAGTGAGGGGGCTAATCCTAGGATTCATTCTAGTTTAGCTTGGGGAGAATTACCATTAAGGCTAAAAAATGTTTTAATTAAAAGTTATATAAAATTATGATTAAGTAAGTGCTACATAATAATTATACAGAAGTACAAATGACCATATAATGAATCCCTGTGTATCCGTCTGTCCCTTCTGAGAAAGATTTTTCCATCTTCTGTTGTTACATACTGATTAAATGGGCCTCTTCTGCCTTCCTTCTGGTTAGATGAATGGCTCATAGAATGTATCATTCTTGAATCTTCTGTGTTGAGTGCATAAACCTGCAGCCTTTGGTTATCATTTATGGTATCGGGTAGTATTCCAAGTCTCATGAGTCGTAATCTAATAGCACTGTTCTCAGTAAATACCTTTTTAGCCTTATAACTCTTGGTCATGTTTTGTCTTTCACGGAGACAGCAAGCTCCAGCCCTTGAGAATTGTCTTAGACCATTTCTGAATGAGTCACAGTCTCTAACAAAAATGTATTAATTCTTGGTTAAACATTGGGAATAACTTTTGAGTGTCATGTAATAAGCCTTGTGAACTGACAAATTGAAAGGCTTAGGTTGACTTAAATAGGATTATGTACAAACTTTGAAAGTATGAAGGAAAAAATTTAAACCTACTTTTGAAAGCATTCAGTAAACTTTTTTAGCATCCATGTTTTACTACAAAATTAATCCTGCTGCTTTACCAGTTAGGTCACAAAGTAATTTTTTAAAAGGTCCTAAAACATGCACCCACAGTAATGTTACTGCATGATAACTTCTACTAGTGGAAAGCTATTCATTGCACTTATGCAAATTAGGTGGCCCTTACACTTGCTTTTATTCCATCCCATAGAAGTACCTTTGTGCCTCTGGAGCTGAGCACAGGCTGTAATAGTTGCCTTTGAGTTTAAATCTTTGTGAAAGCAGAGAAATTTTCTATTTGAGTATTTCATGTGTACAAGATTTTTCAATAATTTTTGGACACGAATAAGAATATGTTGTTCCCATTCATTATTTTAAACGAAGAGACTCATTATAAATATGATAGAACTTGTTCACTTTATTTTCAAGCATCTATTGGGATAATTTTCACTTATCTGGCTGCCTAAAGTGACTTACACAACATGTAGCTTAGTTCTGCCTTTTAAACCTGAGTTGTAGATTATAGACACATTTCGGTGTGCAACACATCAGTAGGCATTCCTCTTAAATTAGTTTGAGAAATTCATTTTATTTTGTACAAGGTACAGTTGGTCTCTGCACAGTGAACAAATATATTACAAATCTGGGTTATTTAAAAAAGTATTGCCATTTCATAGTCTCACTTATGCTATTGTACAATAATAAGTGTTTTCTTTATTTATTTGAATTGTATGCACACCACTTTGAGTGAAAACTGGTTTCTGTAAAATAAACAGATCTTTGCAGGTTGCCAATAAAATGCACAGTGCACGTATTTAGGCTGACCATGAACCTATGTGTGATAGCGCTAGACAGAAGTTCCTAACAGTTGCTCTGTAAGATTGAAA